CTTGATGGGCCTGGTCTTGTTTTTTTCTTTCCCCATCGGACATCCCATAATGGGTTGTTTCATTTTGGTCATGGCTGGCTCTTTTTAGGCAGCAACCAAGCACTACAGTGAGGCAAATCCCTAACAGGAAAATATAAGCAAGGAGACAAAGTCCAGTACTGGGATCAGTCCAGCAAACAGTGGTTACTGGGTCCGGTGATGGAGTCCTCAGGCTTCAGCCGTGCGTGGACCGATCAGCTTCCGCCGTGATCGGAGCAGGGCTTTGCTGTCTTTTTCAGAGTGCCTTGTAGAGGACTGTCCTGGTTGGGGATCGCCCTCCACTCTTGATGGTCAACATCTGGCAGGTGGGCTGTCTTCACTCAGGAGTGGTGGATTCAGGTGTTTAGACCTGCAACTTTGAGGGCTGTGGGAGACTTTAGGATGACTAAATAGGGCCCCTTCCGGGTTGGTTTGAGGGGTTCCTTTTTCCAATCTTTTATCCAGACCTGATCTCCTGGCTTGTGGGAGTGAACAGTCATTCCCAATGACATGGGTCTCCTATCTGTTACCCATCTGTGTACTTCGAGAACAGTCTCTCCTAGTCCTTGCAAGTGTTTACGGATCTCTAAGTCTCCTAGTTCCTGAACATCTCCCTTGAGTTTAACCAGTGGGGGCGGTCTCTCATACAAGATCTCAAAAGGGGAGAATCCTATTCTTGTCCGGGGGTGCAGTACCCCCACAGGGGATCCATGGGCAGCAAATCAGTCCAGGGCAGGTTGGTTTCTTGACAGAGTTTGGCCATTGTCTGTTTAAGAGTCCAACTCATACGTTCTGCTTTCCCTGAACTCTGGGGCCTGTAGGCCGTGTGTAAGTTCCACTGTATGCCCAAGGTTTCTGCCACCTGCTGTACAACTTCAGCCATGAAGGCAGGGCCGTTGTCTGATCCCATGGTCAGTGGCACTTTTTCTGCGAACCCTTCCAGTTTCTGAAGTTTTAGTCCCATGTCAGTTTGGGCCTGTCCTACAAAGGCAGCATTAACCACATGCTGGTTCTCAGTGGCTTCTGGGTTAAAAGGGGTATAAATTCTGAAGGCTTCGCATAGCCTTTCATAGAAGTCGGCTGGATTCTCATCTGGCTTCTGCAGGACCTCGGTGGTCTTAGCCATATTTGTGGGCTTTTTTGGCCCCTGTCCTTACACCCTTGGAGGAAGGCTAGTCGGTATCTTTCAAGACGGTTCTTCCTTGTTTGGGTCCTAGCGTGGCTCCTCATCTGGCAGGGCTTCTCGCGCCCCAGCTTCTATGTCTAGATGCCCAGCTGGTGCCTGCGTTTGGAGCCACTTTCTAGCTTCAGTGACAATCCATCTGCTCGACGGTTCCCTTGAGACACCGAGACATTTCATTTCTGGTGTCCTTTGCAGTGGATGACTGCTCCTTCCTTTGGTTCCCAAACTATTTCTAACAGGTTTAAGATTTCATCTTGGTTTCTGATTCCTTTACCCTGGCGACGAGGAGTCCTCTTTCCTTGTATGCAGCCCCAAGTGCACGCGACGCAGCAAAGGCACAGCAAGGGTCTGTGTGCAAGTGAGCCTGCTTGTCTTCACGGAGCTCCAGGGATTTTCCTAAGGCCCATAGTTCTGCCCCTCGAGCTTACCATCCCTAAGGAAGAGCTTTTGCCTCCAGGACCTTAAAGTCGGAGACCACAGCACATCCAGCGTATCTTTTGTCTTCCTGTATAAAACTGCTGCTGTCAGTATACAGGATGAGGTCGGGATTTTGCAGGGGTCTGTCTGACAGGTCTGGCTGGCTGGAGTAGACCTCATCAAGTGCTTCCAGGCAGTCATGCTCTGGGGGCCCCGCTGCTGTAAGCAAGAAGGTGGCAGGATTAAGAGTCTTTACAGCTTCCAGCCTCACCTGTGGGTTTGCACATAGTAGCCCTTGGTATTGGGTCATTTGGGCATGAGTTAGCCAATGCTGTCCCCTAGTGTCCATTAGAGTGATGACAGAGTGTGGGACCTTGACATCCAAGTTTATCCCCCCTCTCGTAGGATTCCATCAGGGCCTACTCTCTGTGGGTCCCTTGTCTCTGGGAGAGGCATCTGCATTGCTGCCGGGGGTCTTGGTCCCTGAGCTGCTGATCTGAGATGCCTTGCTATGGGTTCTGGTGACCCCGGCAGTGGAGACGGGGCAGCTGCTGGCGGGGGTGAGACGGATGGAGGAGGACTGTCAGGTAGATGAGGCTCCCATTTTCAGATAGTGGGGCACTGGGGACATACGGTGGCGGCAATGAAAGGGTATCTTCGGAATCCCCTGTAATACTGGGGGCTTCTGTCTTCGCCGCGAAGTCTTCCTTTCACTTTGAGCCACGAGGACCTTACACTGTCCCTGACTAGTGACGCAGAACCGGACCCAGTGAGGCTTAATCTGGGCTATTTCCAGCCATTGGTCTAAATATGGAAACTGGTCCGGGTGGCCTGGGTCACCAGTGACCACCTTATATACTGCTCTGGCCCGGAGGACATCTGGGGTGCCCTCGGGGGGCCATCCCACACCGAATGGGGCCCCTCTACCGTGTAGAGTATGCAGTCTCCCGGGGGTCAACTTTGCCTCACGGTCTCCCGAGAATCTCTTTGTACGGTTCCTAATCATACATTCCAGAACAGTGGCCCCGGGGTTAGCAGGCTAGCGCCCTCCCACAGCGAGCGCTGCCAAGACACGCAAGGGGGGACTTCCGTCTGTCCGCCCGGCCGCCCCTCTCGCCGGGATTTAGGCGCCTCTTGGCGTTGGCAGGTCTGTACACGCCCCTGACTGCGCTCGGGCTCGCGGGAGGGACAGTGCCCCCCGGAATCCAATACGGCCCTTAGCCGTGCGCGGCTGCCGCGGAACCGCAGGCTGGGACCCACGCTGGCTCCGCAGCGGATGCCGTGGGGCGCGTCGTTCACACGCACAGCCACACAGCATTTAAGGCGTCCCCCCGGAGCTCCCTGACCTGTGCGGCGAGCGCGCCGCTTGGGAGGTGATCCAGCTCCCCTTCCGCCTTAAAGGCTGGCCTGAACTCGGTCCCGGGTCCCCGGGGACACTTACGCGCTCTGACATCCGGCAGAGTTTCCTGTCGTCCAGTGAGTCCGCGCGCGCGCAGCGGCGGCCGCCCGTGTCGAACCCGGCGAGGGACGGGGCCCAGCAAAGTCGCTGGCAGGCGCCTTTTCCTTCCCATCGCAGGGGCCCGACACTAGCGGCCCCTCGCTGGCCCCCGGCAGCGGTGGCTCAGGGGCCCCGCGGCTGCCGGCTTCCCGGCCGGTGCCCCAGAAGCGTAATGAATGGGAGAGTTCTGCCGGGAAGAGACAGAGGGCACGCGCTCGGAGAATCAGAAAAAACTGGTTTATTCCACACCGGTGCTGAACCAGTTTTTTCTGATTCTCCGAGCGCGTGCTGTCTGCCTCTTCCCGGCAGAATTCTCCCGTTACAACAGAACTATCATATGATCCAGAAACTCCAGCTCTGGGTACATCTCTGAAGGTTACAAAAACACTGTCCTGAAGACACATATTCACCTCCATGTTCAAAGCAGGATTATTACAATAGCCAAGACGTGGAAATCATCAACGAATGACTAGATGAAGAAAGTGGAGTGTGTATATATGATGGAATACTACTCAACCATAATAAAGAAGGAAATGCTGCCATTTGTGACAACATGGATAGACGTTGGGTGTATTATGCCAAGTGAAAAATAGGTCAGACAGAAAGACAAATACTGTATGCTCTCACTTATATAAGGAATGTTAAAAACAGAACAAAATAATGAGCTGAGCACATAGAACAGACTGGTGGTTGCCAGAGGTGAGGAGAGGAAGGGTAGAATGTGTTAAGGCAGTCAAAACTTACAAAATTCTGGTCGTAAATAGTTCCTGGGATGTAATACACTGCATGGTGACTATAGTTAATAATACTGTACTGCATATCTGAAAGTTGCTAAAAGAGCATATCTTAAAAGTTCTCCTCATAAGAAAAAAATGTAACTATATGTGGTCACAGATGTTAACTAAAATTTTTCTGGTAATCATTTTGCAATATATACATAAATCATTGTGTTGTATACCTAAAAGTAATCAGTGTTACATGTCAACTAGATCTCATTAATAATAAGAATAAAAACATAGAGAACTTTCTATTATTAATATGTTGGGTGGATGATAGATTTAAATAGAGTTAAGTCACAAAGCTCTGGAAAACAATGAGCCAACGCTACCAGACAGTGATTGAAAATAAGGAAGATAAACCAAATAAATATTTGCACGTGCAGGAGGACTGGATTTGAGGGAGGCGAGGAAGGCAGTAGATTGCGTTCATCTAGACTGAAGTCTCCTTATAGGCATTATGATGCTTCTGGTTTGTTTCCTGCTTCTCTGTGAACACTGTGCTGTGCAGTAGGTATTCAAGGTGCTGGCTCTGAATATTTGCCTGACTGAAGAAAGGTGCAGTTACAAGCATCTGTTGACCATATAGTAACTGATTATTTTTAAATTTCTTTAAAATTATTTAGCATTTGTTTTATCTATTTAGGTAGTTGATTTTTTTCATTGAAGTTATACAGCAATATATTCTGTGTGTCAAACTCAAGTTTTCTCAGAAAAAAAGTGTATCAGAATCCCAAATTGCTTAGCAAGAAATGACCTGAATTGCATAGGATGGCTGGCTTCTTAAAAACAAACAAAAGTAGTATAGTCACATAATTCAGACATACTTTGGGGTTATAGTCACTGTTAATTGTGGGCTTATTATGGTTTCTTACAGCCCCGAGGACAGTATGGAGTGGAAAAAGTGCAAATGGGTTCAAAGTTCTCTTCCATCAACCATGTGCAGTTTCTGGGAAATCAGCCGAATAACAGCCAGCCCGCCCACCGGGAAATGCCCTTTAGAATCTTCTAGTCATTGAGTTTGGTGTGTGGTTTCAGTTTCCTGCAGTGACGTTTGTTTCATAAACCCTTTCCACTTTTGGTTTCTGTTTTCTATTCTTATCCTCTGCCTTCTGGCAGGGAGTGGAGTGGCATGGAGAGAAAAGAAATCCCTGGGACTGGAAAAGAAATAGTGTATCAGAAACCAACACAGCTAAACTAAGGAACAGATTTAGAACTCTTACCAAGTTCTCATCGAAGCATCTTCCTTACCAGCTCTGAAAGATTCCTGCTCCTGATTTTATAGTTAAGGTAAGACTGGGGCAAGGGTGGAAACACATTTGCGAGGATCAGGAAGTCTTAACAAGTCTGCTTATGATACAGTGCTGCTGAGCTTGACGTGGACTGTAACACCTCATTAAAGGCTAAACTGTGGTGTGGGCAGACGGGGAGCAGAATTCATTAAGCGCTAGTTTCATTTTCTTGTGGCTGAGTTAGACACAAGCATGTGCAGGGACTGAGGATTTGAATTGTCTTCACACTATTTTTCTTCCTTTGCCACCCTAAGGTCTATGGGGATCATAATTGCCACTGAAGTTACCTTCATCCTTGATAAAGCCCAATTAAGTTCCTTCAAATTGCAGCTTGAACTTTTCAAGAATTATGACCATACTATTTTCATGAGAAAGAGCAATGAATGAGATGTAATATATATGGCTTACTTACATTGCTAAGGACAAAACAAGAGAAGAAAAAAGTTGAAACCTAGAATGAACAATGAAGAGGTTTCAAGAAAAAGGCTGTATATTTTAGCCATAGTCCTGCACTTTGTTTGAAGATAGATTTATTCCTTTAGAAAAAACCCTGAATTAATTAGTTTTGATTTCTCAACACTCACTCACTCCATAAGGCCTTTTGTGTTGGACCTTGTTTCTACCACTATATTGACTCTACTATTATGATCACTTAATACAACAGTTGCCCTCCTTGACCACTCAATACTGTCTGCCAATTTTGCTTACTCGTTGGAACTCTCTCCTCCTTTGGATTTCTTACCATGGTACATACTTCACATATCTCCTTGTTTGATTTCCATTTTTCTCCTTAATAAGAGCTTTCCTCTACTCCTACAAACTCAAACTAAAAACAGCATAAAGCAAAGTGAAAGTAAACAACAATAACAAAAATAACACAAAACCCATGTAGCATTAATACTGAAAACAAAGTTTTCTGCTAGAAACTCTATCAGTAACATCAGTAACTCTTCTGAGCCTTTTCTTCTATATTTCTTGGCATTTTCCTTTTTTACACATTTTTTTTCCTTTCCTGAAGCATTCTCTCTGTTTTGAAAGCTAGCAGTTATACTGACATAAATAAATATTTATTTACTAACTTTTTTTGAAGATAGGCTTAGTGGAGTGCCAGGCATTCCACTTAATACCAGTGTCACACAGATAGCCAGGTGCTCTGAGATTAGAAATCATGTCTGTCCTATTTGAAAGCCAAAATGTGTATTTGTGTGTTTGTGTGTGTGTATTTGTGTGTGTGTGTGTGTGTGTGTGTGTGTTCAGATGCATTCTTGCATGGTTTTTACTTACAAAATGCTATAGGGCTCTAATAGAGTTAGGGTGAGTGCATCTCAGAGCACACATCACAGGCTGAGTTATAATGGCAGAGCAACAGTTAAATATGGGGCTCAAACACAGTGAATATGCAAAGATATTTTGGAGATTGGGCTGTCCTAAAGCCATTACAGATGTTACATACAACATCTGGGGTCAATATATAAAATACTTCCATTAATATAGTTATACAGCATTAATGGATTCATTAAGAGGTCTGAAAATTCAGACACATTAGTTTCCTTTCCCACTAGTGATATAATCCCAAAGCTAAAGAGTCGATAAACTCCCAATATCTGCAAATAGGTTTAGATTGTGTATCTTCTGTTTTTCTAGCTGATTGTTGTAGCTCATCACTGCCAGGTCTCCATATCTTTCTAACGTGAAAATGATTATGACCCTTGCTATATGCAAATCAGACCACAGAATTCAACATACATACGATGCCAATATTGCATTGTAAGTGGACTAGAGTGAAAAGAGACTTGGCATTTGAAAATGTAAAATTATGTAGAATCCCCTCTTTTTGGATTTGGCTTGGACTGAGCATTTCCTGGCTCCCATGCCCTCATGCTGTGCCATTTGCAGTAGATCTATTATCTGCTCCCATGTACTTTCCGTTTTTATTTATCTGTCACCTGGATAATCTCTGGGGCATGGGCTTTGAGGATGGGGAGGGTATGGGGCTTTATAATTTTTTAAGAAGCTATTTTTACAGTTTGCTAGCAAGGGAATCCAGACCTTTTCATTCTAATATTTCAGTTTAAAAAAGGCAAGCAGATGGTGGATTTTTAGCTTCTGTTGGAAATAATCACTTCTAACATGGAAGAAAATTGTTCTTTATGGCATGGCAAGGCAAAAAAGCAAGCATTTGTTTAAATCTCAGATAGCTTTCAAATGTTTTATCAGGCACTCCTTAGGTTACAAGAATTGACACCTAGAAATTAGAAAATAAATGGTTAAATATTATTTATGAAGGTATTTTCACTCACTTTCCCATTTATAAAATAATTGTTTTCATTATAATTTTGATTGAATAATGCACATTAATAGTCACATATATATGTGTGTGTGTATGTATATATATAGCTATAAATTAAAGCTTTAAGAAGTAAGCAACTATTTGTTAGATGATGCTACATAATGACTTGGCAGGATTTAGTATAATACACTGTGACTGGACATAGCCCTAAATTGGAGAAAATCAAACTGATATTGGGTAAAAGCAAGAAGTGTAATATAACAAATAGTGATCATAAAGATTCAATCTGGGGATTCAGGGAGACAAAAAGTGAGGCACAGAAGCCAGCCAAACACCAATGGGGAAGAGTCAGACTCAGACGAGCAGTGGATCAGAAAGTGGTTCTCCACACACCCATCAAATAATTCAGAACCAGTGGGGTGGCCTACAGCAGAACTCCGGAAGGCCAGGACTTATTTTACCCTGCCCTTCTGTGCTGTCTTTTAAAAACATTTCTTCAGAAACTTAGTCCATGCTGGGGAGTAGTATGTCTGCAAGTTGAGGGAGCAAAGTGACTTTTCTCTGGTTAAAAACTAGAAATTTCAACCTATCCCCTCTCTTCCCCTGCAGATCAGGTGACACCCGGACATGTCCCCAGTGATCCACATGCCAGAACCCTTGTGCCTCATTAAGAACGCTAATGGGCGGCTGGTGGCTAATCCGAAAGCTCTGGCCATCCTGTCTGCCATCATGCAGCCTGTGGTGGTGGTGGCCATCGTGGGCCTCTGCCGCACAGGCAAATCCTACCTGATGAACAGGCTGGCTGGGAAGAGCAAGGGTGAGTGACCGACAACAGCAGAGCCCCCTGAGTCCCTCCTGTCCACCCACACTCCCAGCGTTGAGGACCACGACGGGAGGAGAGGAAGTTAGGCTGGGGTGGGGGTGGCGGAATAGGGAAAGCGAATGTTTGGGCCATAGCTGGCTAATTATCTCCTGGGAGATAAAGTGTAAGAAGTCTGTCTCTAACATATCACCTCTTTTTAATTTTTTTCTTAGTCTGTTCTTGGAAAAACCATACTACTTTCCAATTACAAGAAGTAAGACATTAATGAAATGACTTCTACACTTGTAACTATAAACAATTAAAATTTTAGTAGCATCGTATTCTTATTAAAAATCCATCAAATTTCCAATCTATGGTACTTCATATTCCTTTATCTCATCCGTCTACTGTAATTCAGGCCAATGCCGCTTATATTTTCTGCCGTCTCCCCTTGTTGCTTTCCTCAAACTCTGGCTCAATTGTCCAGAAAGGGTCCAGTTTCCAAATCCACTCATCTATTACAGCCTCTCCACTCCCCCTGCAGGCTTCTCTATCGGATCCACAGTGCAGCCTCACACCAAGGGCATCTGGATGTGGTGTGTGCCTCACCCCAAGAAGTCAGACCACACCCTGGTTCTTCTTGACACCGAGGGACTCGGTGACATAGAGAAGGTAGGGGACTAGGATTCCTTTTTAATCAACCTCCTCATCTTTCAACGTTTGTTACGCAGGGAGATTTCTTTTTTTTTTTTTTTTTGTACTTCCACTTGATTTTATTTTCCACCTTATTTTCCCCTTCTACTTTTAAAAGGCAAAGTTCAGAAACCTGAAGTAAGAAAAATATATGGATATACCAGAATCATGATTGGGAGGCTAACAAAGAGCTAGACAGTTAACCGAAATGCAGAAAGATGGTGCAAACAAAATCACTGTCACAAGTCTGAACCTGCAGAGGATGGAGATTAGCAGTGAGCGCTGGGTTACCAGGACTTGAGTCCAAATCAGGACCCTGGAACTTGGAGCTCTCAGACTTTGACAAGAAACATTAAGTCTCCTCAAATCTTCAATTTCCCCTTTTTTCTTGTCCATTTTATCAATTGCACAGGAGATAAACGGGGCTTTTCCATTCTGTGCTGGGAAGTGCAGAACAACCGGGCCCCTGGGGGAAAAGCCTCGATTTGCAGCACTTGCTGGTTTTCTAAATACTCCCATCACAGCTGAGTGCAGGCTGCCAAAGAAAAGTCGCCAGACTCAGGGCTCAGAGTCGATGTGTACAATGTGAATCGGTAGGAGCTGGTTCGAGCACAAAATTGGATCTTTCCCTTGAACTTCTGTTTTTTATGTCTTCATTTTGCTTTTGATTTACTACAATTCAAAATGGTCAACCCGTTTTTGCTTTCGTTTCTTCATCTGTAATGTGGAGATAGTACGTAAAAACTTCTCTCAGCGTCGTTTTGAATATTAGATAAGATCAGTAATATGAACTGCCCTGTGGAAAAACTACACTGTAAAATAGATGTATGTATTATGTATACAGGCCAACTTTGTTTTACACAATAGGAAATCTTGATTTTAAGTACTCTGGTTATCTTCACTAAATTTGACTATCCATTTTGCAAATACCAGTTATGAGAGGGAATGGTAAGTTAACAGTATATGGCTTTGTATAAAATGATCAATGTTAATGATGGAACTATTCAAAGTTCACATGTTTCTCACAACCATTTTTGTTTATCTTGTTTCACATTTGTAGCCCAGGGGCCTGTTTTTAATAATTGTCCATGTGGCAATGCCACGAGACATGACTGAAATTTGTTCTGACCTCTAGGGTGACAAGAAGAATGACACCCAGATATTTGTACTGGCACTGCTACTAAGTAGCACCTTTGTATACAATACCATGAACAAAATTGACCAGAGGGATATCGACCTCTTGCAGTATCCTTTTGTGGTTCAGGATGGCACCAAAGCCAGAGAGAACGCCTCTGTTCACCATCTGTGTTCATGAGTCCTTGTGAATCAAACATAAAATGAAAACACTACAAACATTAAAAACACAGGATAAAGAGTCTTTATGTTTGCTGATGAAATGAGGAATTGGTACAACTCAAAGTGCATATAAAAGTACAGGCAGGCGCAGAGCTAGGTGCGGCTTAGACGCAGCCCTATTTGCAACAGTTTTCCTTGATTGCATCTCAGCTATGTGACGGAGCTGTCAGGTCTGCTCAGAACAGTATCCTCACCTGATCTTGATGGGATAGAAGATGCAGCTGACTTTGTGAGCATCTGTCCAGACTTAGTGTGGACTCTGAGAGATTTCTACCTTGACCTGGAAGCACATGGGCAACTTATCACAGCAGACGAGTACCTGGAAAATTCACTGAGGCCAAAGCAAGGTAACAGAGACTTCAGTTTTGGAAAGAGAGAGAAAAATAACACAAGATTTACCTCCTGTGTGTTTCTGGTTAAATTTATAATTTCCTATATTGACTAAAACGGACTAAACTACCAAATAAATAATTAATACTATTAACTTGAAGTGAACTAATAGATTCAGTATTAAATTGTATACCCACCTCTTCTTGAAGCAAATTACTTCTCCATTTTCCTTTTTGATTTCCTGATTGATCCCCATTTTAACGTTTTGCTTAGGATTTGTAAAGATACAGTGAAATAAATAAGATCTGGTAGAAGGCACATTGATTTGTGGGAAACGCACTAAAATGAATGTTACGCTTATAGAAATAAATGCTCTTTTTCCTTCCTCAGGCACGGATCAAGGTCTTCCAAATTTTAATTTGCCCCGTCTGTGTGTACAGAAATCCTTTCCAGTGAAGAAATGCTTTACTTTTTATTTACCCACTCTTCGAAAGAAGCTTGCCCAGCTTGAGACACTGCATGATGACGACCTGGATCCTGAATTTGTACAACAAGTGGCAGATTTCTGTTCCTACATCTTCAGCCATTCTAATGCTAAAACTCTTTTGGGAGGCATTAAGGTTAATGGATCCCGTGAGTACCTTTTTAAGGATTTTCTTTTAACTCAAAATAGAGAATGGGAGCACTGTTGTAACTTTCCCCTTCCACTGTCAATGCTGGAAATGCATTGTTAGCTACTTCCAAGAAAATCATATGTGTTATATTGACTAGATTTCAGTCAGTCACAAAAGTATTTCTAGTGCTTTTTAGCAGTGCCTCCAAAGTAAGATAAAATAGGAATGTAATCTGAAGAAAAGGTCAAGTTTAAAAAGTTCTACCTGTAAGTGGTCCAGTGTTGAATCAGACTGACCCACATGGCAGTTGGCAGCATTTCTTCCACCAAAATGGTGGATACTTACTGTGTGTCACAGCCTTTGAGAGGAAGAAGATGAAGAAGACACAAACATTTTCTGTAGAAATGGAATGTACCTGATACAAACATTAAGCAAATAGATGCCAAGTATGCCTAGAAACCTTTAAGAAGTCTAGACAGACTTCTTGATTCAGTTGTTCCTAAGTACTATGTTTCGGAACTCTATAAATTATTGCTGCGCTCTAGAGGGAACAAAAGTGTACAAAGGACAATGAAGACAAACAGGAACTTTGCAACAAAGAGTATGGTGATCTGGTCTAATTTGCCTACTTTGTGTTTTTTCTGATGAGAGTAACACTCATACCAGCTTTACATGTTGAAGTGGAAGAGAAAAGGGAACTCTGAAGGGAACAGAAACCCGCAGTAGAGAGAAAGAAAGGGAAGAGTCAAAGGCAAAAGGCCATAGTATTCTAATCAGAGGAATACACATAACTTTATACAAGCATTTGCTCATTCTCTATGAGAAAATGATGAAATGTGCATGCTCACATAGATCTTGAACTTTCCCCTTTGAAGACTTTCTTTTCTCAAAAATGAAAGATATATCTTCTTGGTTACATAATTTCTCAAAGGATTTTATTTGGACCACTTGAATACTGTGCAGAATGTTGAATATGTTAAATTAGCATTCTCCGAATTACTCACTTCAGAGCATGTCCTTTGACTCTGCAAATAATTCAAGCATCTCTTCCTCCTATAAAGGTCTAGAGACCCTGGTGTTGACCTACGTCAATGCCATCAGCAGTGGGGATCTGCCCTGCATGGAGGATGCAGTCCTGGCCTTGGCAGAGATTGAGAACTTAGCTGCAGTGCAAAAGGCCATTGCCCACTATGACCAGCAGATGTTCCAGAAGGTGCAGCTTCCCACAGAAACCCTCCAGGAGCTGCAGGACCTGCATAGGGCCAGTGAGAGAGAGGCCATTGAAGTCTTCATGAAGAACTCTTTCAAGGATGTGGACCAAAGTTTCCAGAAAAAACTGGAAGTAATTGTCTTTTTGGCTCTAGTTCATGGAGTTTTGGGGCAATAAAAGGAAAAGATTGCTATGAAAGGCAAAATGAGGACTTAACTAAGAAAAACAATTCTTACTAGACTAGAAGATAATGACTATCACTATGTGGCCAAGATATCACTATCTTTCTGAAAACAAATAAATAAACCTGTAACCACTCCGGACTCTATCGATTCTGAAACTTTCACACACAAACAACTTAACTTACCATGTTACAATCATGGACTAATTTTTTTAAGTAATCTTATTCCTTAAAATATTATATTCATAATATATTACCTTTCCATTTTTATTAATCAAGTATACAGATTTGCCAAATGGATCTACTAAAAGATTATGTCCCCAGGTTTAACAGCACACACTCATCATTCTGGCCAGTCATTGCATTCTACCTCCTCATTGGGAATCCCAGGCCTAGTATAATACTGAAACTAGGATGATTGTAAAACTGTAGGTTGCATTTAAAATTAGGGCATGAAGCCAGAGATCTGCAGTGTGAAGATTATACCCAAAGCAGAAATGGAAAAGAAAGGTATTTCGGGATACTTCAAACAGAAGTCAGGTCATTTTTCTACAGTGTATCATCCTTGAAACTTCTAGGTTTGCTAGGAAAAGGATATATTATTGCTTGTAGTCCTCTAAAACTTCCAGAAAGATAGAGATATTCCTTTTGTGAGTCACTTCTAGAAGAACTGAAGTGTTGCTAACACCCTTTCCATGGGCCTTTGTCCCTTTGAAGACCCTGCTAGAAGCCAGACAGGAGGACTTCCATAAACGGAACTTGGAGGCATCACTGGACCGTTGCTCAGCTTTACTTCAGGATATTTTTCATCCTCTGGAAGGAGATGTGAAGCGGGGGATTTATTCAAAAGCAGGGGGGCATCGTCTCTACGTTCAGAAGACAGAAGAGCTGAAGGCAAAGTACTATCAGGAGCCCAGGAAAGGAATACAGGTATCCCCAGTTTTATGTATTAATTAATGTATTGTATAATTAACTTATGTAACTAATTAAACTGTTGGGGGTCTTCTTTCAAAGATCTATGATCACAGACAGAAAGAACTAAATGCTATCACCATAATTGTCAGACTCTTACTGCAACCATCAACATTTGCTGCAACAGAGGGACTTTTTCACTTATACAGGACAGAATCCCAATAACTGAACTGACTTAAGAAAATAATTCACTGGCTCACATAAGCTAAAAACAAAGCGCTTAAATTTAGTTGTAAGTGTAGGTATGTCAAGGGCTTAACATAAGCAGTCTATGCCATGTAATAATGCAATCAGTTCCCCCCTTTCCTTCTTTCTTTCCAATCCCGCCTCCAGCTTTCTGTTCTGTTTTCCTCACCATTGGCTTCATTCTCAGGCAGGCTCACCCTGCATGGCAGCAAAGATGAAACCAACAGCTCCCAGCTTAACTAGTCCTTTGTGGCCTCGGTCTCAGGAGAGAGAAAGCATCTTTCCAGCATCCATATCAGTCTTTAAAACACCCAAGTTGCAGTATGTTTCTGTCTGTACCCAAATCTTTTGCGTCTAGTGGCCTTGGATGCTCTGATAGGCCAGCCCAGAGCATGTGCCCACCTCTCAACAGAAGAGGCTTCGTTGACAGTTTCACTAAATATAGGATGAGCACTTGCAGGGAGGAAAGGGTGCTAGGAAGAAAAAGAAATAAAGAGGTCTACAACATTTCTAATTATTTCCTACTTCTAACTGCATCTGTTGGCGTTCCTAGGCTGAGGAAGCTCTGCAGAAATATCTACAGTCCAAGGAGTCTGTGAGGGATCGCATTTTGCAGACAGACCTGGCTCTCACAGAAAGAGAAAAGGAGATGGAAGGTGAGAAGAAAATGGGAAAAGATGCAAGACAGAAATCTTACACATTTTTAATTAATGTGGCTCGGTTCACATGGGATCATTAAACTAGAGCAAGACTGGCAAAGATGTGCCACTCCTCGGTCCTCAGTCTGTATCTGAATAGGGCATGTACTGTCAGCTAGAATATGATTACCTGGAGAGGAAAATGACCCCAGGGAATGTTGTCTATGCAGTAGCAGCAATAGCAAACAAGAATGGGGACAGAAGGAAGGGTACTTTAATCCTAGAGATGTTTGTCATTTACCTCTTTCTTAGAGGCACGTGTAAAAGCAGAGGTTCTAAAGGCTGAAGAACAAAGAATGTGGGTGGCAGTTCTAAGGCAGTACCAGCAAATGATGGAGCAGAGGGAGAGGCTCCTTCAGGAACAAGTCAGACAAATGGAGAGAAACAGGATGTTCCAGCATCCATTGCAAAAGAGGGCCCTGGACCTGAGACATCACTGCCAGGTATTAATCAGTTCTTTCATCTCTGGGTTGTAATCATTATCTCTCCTCTCTGTATGGATGAGAACATGCAGCACTGACAACGTGTGAAGGGCAGCGTAACATTGTGGCTCAGGGCAAGGACTCTGGAATCAGATAGCCTAGGTAAGAATCTCAGCTCCACCACTTATAAACAGATTGTTTGGAGATGGTAATGATAGCTTTTTGCAAGGGTATTGACATAAATGAGTCAATATTTGTGTTTAGAATGATGCTTTGCACAGCATAAGCACTATAATTTGTTTAACAACATCCTAGAGGTTGTTTCATAAGCACTTGAAAAGAAGATATGTTGTGTTTTGGGGGGGGGTGTAATGTCCTGAGAATATCAATTAAGTCTAACTGTTTTATTGTGTTACTTAGGATTTCTGTTGCCTTGTTGATTCTTTGTCTGGAAGCTATGTCCCTTGATGTTTGTGGGAGTTTAACGTCTCCGACTATTACTGTATTCTCATCAATTTCTCCTTTTATGTCTGTTAGTGTTTGTTTCATGTATTTAGGTGCTCCTATATTGGGTGAATATATGTTGACGAGTATAATAGCCTTTTCTTGTGTTGATCCCTTTATCATTATATAGTGTCCTTTTAAAAATCTTTTTTATGGCCTTTTTCTTAAGGTCTGTCTTATTTGCTATGAATATTGCTACCCCTACTTTCTTGTTATTCCTATTTGCGTGAAATAACTTTTTCCATCCCCTAATTTTCAAACTATGTGTGTCCTTCACCCTAAAGTGGGTCTCTTTTAAGCGGTATATTGTAGACTCTTACTTTTGTATCCAATCTGCCACTCTGTATTTTGATTGGAGCTTTTAGTCCACTGGCATTTAAAATAATATATATTTATTACCATTTTAAACATTGTTTTCCAGTTGATTTTGTACTTGTTGTTTGTCCGCTTTTTTTTCTTTTTGTTTTTCTATTTGTGGTTTGGTAATTTTCTTCTGTATTATGCTTCAGTTCTTTTTTTGTTTGTTTTTATGTGTCTATTGTATGTTTTTTATTTGTGGTTACTCTGTTTTTCAAGTATGTTAACCCATTAGTATACCTTGCTTTACACTTGTAATCATATAGGCTCAGACACATTCTAAAAAAAGAAAAAATATGTATTTTCTCTTTCCCCCCTCCCATATTTTATGGTTTGACAATCTCTTTGACATCTTCATGTTTATTCTCTTGCTGTTCATTGCAGTTATTGTCACATTTCCAATAGTGATTTACTCTTGTCTATAGATTCTAGCCTGTTTTCTGTTTAGAGGAGACGTTTCAGTGTTTCTTTAGGGCAGGGTTAGTGTTGCTGTGCTCTTTTAGCTTTTGCTTGTCTGAGGATATTGTGGTCTCTCCTAGTATAAGTCATAGTCTTGCTGGAGAGAATGTCCTCTGTTGCAGTGTTTCTCTTCCAGGACTTTAAAAATATCTTGCCACTCTTTTCTGGCAAGCAACGTTTCTGTAGAAAAACCAAGATAGCCTTATGGGGGTTTCCTTGTAACTAACTCTGTTTTTCTTTTGCTGCCTTTAGAAATCACTCTTTATCTTTAGCTTGGCCGTTTTAACTATAGTGTGTCTTGGTTTAGGTCTGATTGGATTCATCTCGTTTGGGACATTCTGTGCTTCCTGTACCTTGATACTCGTTTCCTTCTTCAAGTTTGACAGATTTTCAGCCATACTTCCTTCAAATATATTTTTGATTCCCTTTTTTTCTTCTTCGCCTTCTAGGACCCCTCTTTTGCACAGATTGTCATGATTTATATTATCCCGTAGGTCTCTTAGATTACTTTCATTTTTTTTTCATTTGCCTTTCTGGCTCTTGTTTTGATTGGGTGATTTCCATTATACTATCTTCCAGATCACTTTTTTGTTCTTCTACATTATTCAGTTTGCTCTTTATTGCCTATACATTGGCTTTCATATTGGCAAATGAGTTTCCTTTTTTTTCTTAACATTTTTTAATTGAGTTATAGCCATTTTACAATGTTTTGTCAAGTTACTAGTGTAGAGCACAATTTTTCAGTTATACATGAACATACATATATTCATTGTCACATTTTTTTTCTCTGTGAGCTACCACAAGATCTTGTATATATTTCCCTGTGCTGTACATATAGTCTTCTTTCTCTATTCTACATATACCTGTCAGTATCTACAGATTTTGAACTTCCAGTCTATCCCTCCCCATCTACCTCCCCCTTGGCAACCACAAGTTTGTATTCTATGTCTATGAGTCTGTTTCTGTTTTGCATTTGGTTTTTTTTGTTTGTTTGTTTGTTTGTTTGTTTTTTAGATTCCACATATGAGCGATCTCATATGGTATTTTTCTTTCTCCTTCTGGCTTACTTCACTTAGAATGACATTCTCCAGGGACATCCATGTTGCTGCAAATGGTGTTATGTTGTC